ACATCTAATTGTTGTTTTTATAGAAAAACCAACATTGTATATTTCCCATATCTTATTATCAATTGATTTATTTTTGCAATTCATGCAGGGTTGCCCCAAAAGTAATTTAAAATATTCTCTCGTGTTAATAAATATAGTAGATCCAAGTCTGTTGTTTTGTATTGCTTGTTGAACAGCAGCATCAATATATTCTTGTTCTATCAGATCATCATCATTTTTGTTGGTGGTTTTGTGAGCTCTAATCACAGTTTCTTTAGCCCATTTTAATTTTTTATTTGTCTGGTAATATTTCTGTCTATATTCAACATAACCAACCAATAAGCCTTGTGCAGTATCCTTATCTATTTCTAGACCATCAACATCAACCATTACTCCAGACTTTACATCTGTAAGTTTGTGTGATGAAGTACCACCATCTGAATTAATTATTTCTTTTACAATTAACCCCCCTTTTCTTTTCATCTGATTTTGTACAGACTTGGTCATCTTTTCAGCCTTCAGAATCTTTTTGTCTATGAGGTTGGTAAAAGCCTCAGGATGTTTTTGAATTACTGCAGCTCTAAGATATTTTATATTTGTTGCATTATTCAATCCTAATATATTAGGTATCGAATGATTCCCTTTTTTTTTACCTTTTATATATTTGTGAAAAGAAGAAAAATATTCATTAGATGAAGATTGATGTGTAATATTAGTTAGAGTTCTGTCTTCTGCATAATCCACCCATAAAAAATTTAATAAATTATCCTCATTTTTTTCAATAGTAAATCGGAAAAAAGACTTAGCAATATAAGAAATTATAGAATAACCAGGAATTATGGGTACAAATGTCTTGTCATCGATGTCAGACATTCCTTTAACTAAAATTTGTTGATAATAAGAACTTGCAAGATAATCATTTATCTCAACAATTTTATGTTGCTCTAAAACCTCTAGAGTAATTATCATCACGAACAAACCAACTTCCTTTTTGCCCAGTTTCAAAAGCTTTATACATAGGGTTTGATTCACATAATTCTTGGTACCACTTCATTGTTAAGCAGAATATGTGTTCTTTATTTAAATTATGTCTTATATTAATACATATAATAAATTCTATAATGATTAACATGCTTTGATAAGAGTATTTATCATTTAATTGACATTTCTATATGTTCACTTACAGCTTTACTATTCTTAATAACATCCACTTGGTATTTTCTATACATTCACTTAGTGTTTTCTATACATTCACTTGGTGTTTTCTATACTATACATTCACTTAGTGTTTCTATCATTTTACTATGTTTTAATTAGTAATCTGAGAATTTTAATTAGTAATCTGAAAATAGGTTTGACCTTAAAGTTGTAATAACTCTAGCAAGAGTAAAATAAATTTTATGGTTTTTATATTAAATTAAAATTCAGAATCTTGAGAAAACAAAAATATAAAAATATATACAATTTTAATTATTTTTACACGTCTTAATAAGTGGCTTATTTTTTCAATTAGGTAAAATCAAAATTAGCCACTGTATATCATAGTGAAATTCGTGTTACGTATACTCTACCCTTAAACGGTTTGAACGGTTTTTTGAACAACATTACACGACCCCTATTTAATTACCAAAAAAGGCAATGAATTTCATTCC